ATTTCAAAACTGAACTCTTTTACATGAGGAAGTCTTAAGGAAGATATGGATTCCTTCCCTATATTGTACTAAGGTTACTCTGCTTTATAGATGATTTGGCCTTTGGGCCAGATTAGATGACCTTGAAAGTTTTCTCACCACAGTCTCCTATCTCCTCCTTCCTTTTTTCTGGCCATCTGTTCAGAATTTTTTTTTTGCTGTTGATATGTATGTATTGTATATGTTTTTTATTATTAAAAATATTTAATCTGAGCCGTTAGAGTATTTTAGATGAATGTAATTAGAAATATGTGTTGTCCTCTCAGTTTTGGAACTTGATTTATTATTGACATTATGTGTGGTTCTATTGTAGTCCCTGGAGGGGGATGAAATGTGTTGGGATTTTTTAGAAAAAAAAGGATAATCATAAAGGGTTTTTTTTTTAAAAAGTGAGAAAATGAAGTATAGACCATCAATAATCACATAAAGTCTTGTTTCTTCCATTATCTGTGGATCCTAATGCATGCTTTTCAGTATCTGCTTGTGGCTCTGTCAGAAGAAGCCACAGGGAGTCTCTATGATAGTGGCGCCAGCTGGAAACAGAATAATGGGAACTGCAGTTTCACAAGGTATTTAGTCTTCTCAGCCAAATTATGCTGGTATCTCACCAGATGACAACTCCCATGATTCCATAGCATTGCACTATGGCAGTTAAAGTGGTATCAAAATTCATTCATTCTACAGGATGCTACGAGCGTCTTTCTCTCAGTCTTTATTTCATATGAAAGAGATAGAGTTTTAAAATATCTGTTTTTGGAAGATGGATTATTACATTCCGTGTGAAATAATGGTTGTAGATGTGAATGAAAGAATATCAATATGTGGTTCAGAGTAAGCTCTGTATATGCATTCTGCCCACAGTTTGGTCTCTGTCAAGTGCAGGAGGTAAAATAAAGATTTCATCATGAGTCTGTAAATGCAGCCAAGCAAAGCTATGTCTGTGACCAACACTGTTTGTTTTTCTTTGAAAGAGTGGTTGGAAAATCCCTTTACTGTTGGCTCTTTTTCAATATCCACTGACTTATTTCATTGGAAGGAAACCTGAAGTGTACGACTCAATGTCTGTGTTTCATATCAAGGAGGGAATCCAGTAAGCTTTCCCCCCATATATACTGAGATGTTTTATTGTTGGCTTCCTGTAACTTTTGAGGGAATGGGGGAAACTTTCAAAACTGCACATCCCATAGATCATCCATTTCATATTTTAAAACATCACTTATTAACTAGATGTAACACGAGCCCATGCTTGTCCAATTTTGATGGATTCATTTCAGTTGGTGAAACCCGAGGATGTGGACAAGATACTTGGAGAGGTGAGAGCGACCACATGCATCCTAGACCCCTGCCCATCCTGGCTTTTTAAATCCTAGACCTCTGCCCATCTCTATGTGTTTTGTCTATATGTGAGTTATATTAATTGTATTGTTTATTTGCTTATTGCTTGTTGTTTTTATTGATGTGTTGTTGGGCTTGGCCTCGTGTAAGCCACTCCAAGTCCCTTGGGGAGATGGTGGCGGGGTATAAATGAAGTATTATTTTTATTGTATTGTCGAAGGCTTTCATGGCCGGAATCACTGGGTTGTTGTAGGTTTTTTTGGGCTACATGGCCATGGTCTAGATAAATTCTCTCCTGACGTTTCGCCTGCATCTATGGCAAGCATCCTCAGAGGTAGTGAGGTGTTAAGCAACATGGGAGACAGTACTGAGCAACCTCTGAGGATGCTTGCCATAGATGCAGGAGAAAGGTCAGGAGAGAATGCCTCTAGGCCATGGCCATATAGCCCGGAAAAACCTACAACAACCCAATATTATTATTATTATTATTATTATTATTATTATTATTATTATTATTATTATTAGCCAGAGGGAGATTGGCCGAATGGGTGAAGGTGGTGAAGGTTCCAGCCAGCTTAAAACAAGCTGTAATAAAACCTCTGTTGAAAAAAAAATCACTGGACCCCACTCAATTTGTCAACTATCCGCCTGTTTCCAATTTCCCCTTTTTGGGCAAAGTCCTGGAATGTGTGTTGGCCTCACAACTCCAGGTATTCTTGGAAGACATGGATTATCTGGATCCAGCAGAGTCTGGCTTTAGGTCAGAACATGGAACAGAGACTGCCTTGGTCACCTTAGTGGATAATCTATGCTGGGAACAAGACAGGGGGAGTGTGTCCCTATTGGTTCTGCTGGACCTCTCAGAGGCCTTTGATACCATTGACCATGGTATCCTTCTGGGGCGCTTCGCAGGAATTGGAATTGGGAGCACTGTTTTGCAGTGGCTCCAGTCCTTCCTAGAGGGTCGCTCCCAGAAGGTGTTATTGGGAGACACCTGCTCAACACCACAACCATTGTCTTGTGGAGTTCCTCAGGGTTTAGTACTGTCTCCCATGTTGTTTAACATCTACATTTAGCCACTGGGGAAGATCATCTGGAGTTTCAGGGTGTGGTATCACCTGTATGCAGATGATGTCCAACTCTGTCACTCCTTCCCACCTGCTACTAAGCAGGCTGTTTAGGTCCTGAACAGGTGCTTGGCCACTGTGACAGTCTGGAGGAGGGTGAACAATGCTAATAAACTTTATAAACTTTATTTATACCCCGCCACCATCTCCCAAAAGGGGATTTGGGGTGGCTTACAAATTGGAATTGAATCCAGACAAGACAGGTTCTCCTGGTCAGTCAAAAGGCTGAACAGGGCATAAGGTTACAGCCTGTGCTGGATGGGGTTGCACTCCCCTTGAAGGCGCAGGTTCGCAGCTTGGGTGTCATCCTTGATTCATCACTGAATCTGGAACCCCAGGTTTTGGCAACAACCAGGGGAGCATTTCCACGGTTAAAACTTGTGCGCTAGCTGCGCCTGTACCTTGGGAAATCTGACTTGGCCATGGTAGTCCATGCTCTGGTTACATCCTGTATAGATTACTGCAGTGCACTCTACGTGGGGTTGCCTTTGAAGACCGTTTGGAAGCTTCAAATGGTCCAACAGGCAACAGCCCAGTTGCTAACTGGAGCAGCGCTCAGGGAGCATACAACTCCTCTGTTGCACCAGCTCCACTGCCTGCCAGTTTGCTACTGGGCACAATTCAAAGTGCTGGATTTAGCCTGCAAAGCCCCAAATGGTTCCAGTTCAGCTTACCTGTTCAAATGCATCTCTCCTTATGAACCATCTAGAACTTTAAGATCATCTGGGGAGGCACTGCTCTCGGTTCCACCATCTTCGCAGATGCATCTGGCGGGGATGAGATACAGGGCCTTCTCAGTGGTGGTCCCTCGGATATGAATAACCCTCCCTAATGATATTAGATTGGCCCCCTCTCTCTTAACATTTTGTAAAAAAAGTCAAAACCTGACTCCTCGAGCAAGCTTTTGCAAATGCAGCATAACAGGTGAATATGGAACGACTGGACGATGCAACTGGAAAATGATTTTAGTAAGGAGAGGCTGATGATTTACACACACACACACGCTAAATGTTTTAATTGTATTTTTATGTCTGTTGGGGCATTGAATTGTTGCCATCTATAAACTGCCCTGAGTTGCCTTCGGGCTGAGAAAGGCAGTATACAAATACGGTAAATAATAAATAAACACTTTGTGTGATGACTTCCAAGTTCTTACATCTCACTTGTCTATTTCTCTGTCTTCAGGGACTCATACTTTTCTTCAAATGATTGTTTTCTTCTTTAGGTTTCAAGCTCTTTCTGCTTCCTCATTTTAAACTCATCCACATGCCATCACCTATTTTGTGTAACGACTTTTCAAGTTAGGCCTTCTCTCTTTTCAGTTTGGTATTTCAGAAGATCATAAAACAGAAGATATAGCCTAGAGAGGAATGCTGGGTAAAGAGTGCTCTTAAATAGTATTTGCCATTCCTCTAGGCTAAGTTGCAAATCACCTCCAGCCTTAGTTAGAATAGAACTTTCTCATAGGTTGATTTACTGAGAACCCTGGGGCGTCTTTTCTGCTGCTTTAATCATTATCATGTTGAGTGCTAGCTTATGAACTTATTCCCAAATCAGCACTTGGAATAGAGGTTCTATAATACAATTTTATTGTAGTTTCATTGTACTCCTATAGAGCAGAATTTAAGCTGTTGTGATTCATGTAGTGCTGAATCTCATGTTAACATTGCAGATAGAGCTAAATGTAGATTGCCACAGGGGGTCTCTATGATAGTGGCACCAGCTGGAAACACAATAATGGGAACTGCAGTTTCACAAGGTATTTAGTCTTCTCAGCCAAATTGTGCTGGTATCTCACCAGATGACAACTCCCATGATTCCATAGCATTGCACTATGGCAGTTAAAGTGGTATCAAACTGTGTGAGGTAAAATACAAAGCCCTCCAAGGTAACTTTCTCTGTAATGTTATATTCTCATATGGAGCAGATATGGAAATGTCCTACCAAGGGCAAAACATCAGCAGTATGGTTAATGAGGGCTGCCTGGGAAGTTATTAAAGAATGTTTTTAAGGAAATTGAAGTGTTGTCCATGAAAAGAGAACAAAAAGGAATATAAATATGTGCATAATAATGCAAAGAGACAAAAGAAATGGTCAACAGACTGGACAACTTCTTATGAGAGAAGGTTAAGTATTTGGAACCTTTTTAGCTTTGAAAAAAATTAAGGAGGACCATGATGAGATGTATGTAAAATTATGCAGTTTGGCACAGACAATGTTTATAGCATGAAATGCATGCTCTCTTCTAATATTGAACCTAGAATAATCCAATAAAGTTGAATGGTGAAACGTTTGGAACAAAGAAGACAGAGTATCTGCACTACTTCTTCACACAAAGCATATCAAAACTGTGCAGTTCCCATTTACAAAATGCAGTAGTAGCTACAGATACAGATGTCTTTGGAAGGGTTATTAAATGGATCCATAGAAGATGAGGCTATCAATGCCACTAGTTATTTTAGTTATGTCCTACCTTCAGGATTGGATGGAGCATTAATTATGAGACTGAAGTTGTTTCTAACACCACATATGTGCATCATGGTATCCTTGATATGTTCAAAGAAACTGCTTGGGTGCGTGTTTTCCAAGATCCAGCCTAGAACACTTGTTCTGGCAATTTTAGCAATGATGGCATATGAAGGAATAGCAAACGTTCAGAAACAATGGAGCATTGTGGGAGAATTTAGCCTCAGGAACAACTGTTGTTATGGATAAAAGCAAACACTAAACAAGATGCTGTTTTCACTGATGTAATGCCTATAATGGCAAGTGTAAAACTGTCTACTCTTCGACCTATTGTGAATTACCCTCATTATGGAGATGCAAGTTTACGGGCAAGAACAAAGATAGTTTATTCCATGTATAGTCGAAAACCAGCAAAAGACGTTAAAAGGGAATTGGTAAATATGGGAGTGAATTACTACAATTTAGAAGAATCCTGGTGCCTAAAGAGATCTAAGCCTGGCTGCAGCATGTCAGAAATTTGGGATGTAGAAGATTTCTCCAACATTGGAAAAGTTCCCTTATGCGATATTGTGGGCAAGAATTCCAGACCATACTTCAGGACAGTATTTGACAATGATGTATACAAAATATTAGAAGTTAGCTTATAAGTTGGATTGAGTTTATTTTATTTTTTGTTTTGCTTTGATTGTCTATTTGATTTTGGGCATTGAATGTTTGCCATTTTGTTATTTTTTGTAAACTGCCCTGAGTCCCTTCAGGGAGGGAGAGGGGGTTATAAATAAAGTTTTTAAAAAATATATATTATTATTATTATTATTATTATTATTATTATTATTATTATTATTATTACTATCACTCTGAATACTTGTTATTGGGAAAAAGCAATAGGAGACAAATGTTACAGTTATGTCCAGTATGGAAATGAAGGCTATATCTAGTCTAGCATTTGGTTCCCAAGCAATAGGAATTAACACACATTGGAAAATACGAAATTGGTTGCACATTATCAGTATACAATAGTGTGTGTGTATGGGAGAACCACAAGCCTACACAAGTTAGATGGGCATTTTCCATGAGTGCTTTAATTGTGTATTCCTGCATTGCAGCAGTGGGACAAGATGGTTCTTTTGATCCCTTCCAGCCCTTTGATTCTATAATTCTCTGTAACCGATGCAGAACAATGTGTTTATCATTTAGGTGCCACAAGAGTTTTTGTTGCTATAGCTACAAGCTTTTGCTGGGCACACTAATTATTACTGTATTTTAATGGAAGTACACAATAGCAATTGATATTTTGAACCTGTTTAGTTTAGTATATAAAATATACCACTCATTACAAATAATTTTGTTTTGAAGCAAAATGTGCCTGTGATGGAAATTTATATTTTAAGGTTGTGCTTTTTCTCTTTCTTTTCTCCTGTATTGTCAGGCTTAGACCCTTAACATACCTTCCATATAGCCTTCCATCTAGCATACCATGAGAGAAAGCAAATTAGATTAGCAAAAGTTTTATGAAAAACTTTAACATTCATGAAATTACCCCTGAGATCTGCTATATTTCATAATTACATTCCTATGAGACAAAGCAGACTGTTCAAACTATGCCAGCTGCATGTGTTAAAGCATTTAGTAGCATTCCAAATTGCATTAAAGAGCTATGAAAATGCTAAACAAACTCTTCATTAGCCATTTATTTGACAGAATGGATTTTCCCCTATGTATGTGTATTAGGGGTATGCATTTTTTTTGTTAGTCATCATAAGTCATATCAAATTTGTTAAATTCGTACTTACAATGCAATATCTGACATGCAGGCATGGCATGTACCAAAAACTTAAGAATTGAAACTTACTGAATACTTCTTCATTTGCATTTTGTATATCTTGGAAACCTCGCAAAGTGAGTTTCATTTTCAGCGCAAGGAAGCAAAGCAAAGCCAAAAAGGCTGCCTTTTCTCTTTAAATTATGTCCTCTTGCCATTAGGAGAGGGAAGCAGCAGGGAGAAAGAGACTGAGAAAGTACAGAATTCTGGGGAAGATGAAGGCAAGTTTTACTAATTATACTTTAGAAACACTAAAGTGCCCTCAAATTTTGTAATGAATTTTGAAATGTAATGAATTTTGAAACATTTTTCTAATCGATTGCGCATGCCTAATGTGTTTGTATCTATCCATAGCATGTCTTCATGCACACAGAGTTTTGAATTCCTGGCTATTAGCAGTTTATTGGTGAATGGATATAAATTATAAATTTCATGAAGTAAAAGCTTTGATCTTATCTGGGTCCCATTGCCAGGTCAGAATTATTGTGATTTTATTCCATTTTCCCTGCCATGGTTCTTTTGTATGGAATCATGAGATTGGCAATTTAGGGATAGCATACAGAATTCTAGCCAGAGCTCTCCAAACTTCAGATCCTACAATTCTGTAACACTGAACTAGGCAGTTAAAGTAGAATTATAACATTACAATACTGTAGTCTGGATGGACCCCTGTTCTGTACATTGTCTGCTTACAATTTCTTCGTTTGAAACCAGCCCCTTGTGTTCAAGGTATGAGTGACATTATCTTCATCTTGGAAGAGACAGAGCTGTGCAAGAGTGGATAATTTTACTAGGTAAACAATAGAAACAACTTGAAAAGAGGGCATAGAGTACATGAGCATACATGGTTTGGAACCAGGATATCTGGAAGACCTAGTCCCTTCATAAGAGCCTTCCATAGAAGACCTTTTACACATCCCACCATCATATGAGGCTTCACTCGTTGAGATACTTAATGGAGCTTTCATGTAGCAGTGCTGATTTGTGAAATTGTCTTCAAAGAGAAATGAGGCCAACTCCATTCTCCTTAGTTCCTCCTTAGTAATTAAGTATGTTAGTAAAGTATGTAAGATCCTAGTAGATAGTGAAAACAGTGTTGTTTCACACGGCGGTTGGCTCTTAAAACTATGTATGTTTCCTCTGCCTGTTCTTAAAACTATATTTTTAGTTTTAGAATTAGATATGTTTTTAATTGTGTTTTTTGTATTTATTTAATGTTTTTCAAGCATTTTAATTGATTTTGCAAACACCTCAGGGATCTATTGGTTTGAGAGTTGATAAATAAATGCTTAGAATGAATAAATATTAGCTTATTTCCCCTTGAACATTTTGAAGACAGCCCTTGAGAGTTTGCTTTGTGTGGAAGCAACTTTGGGCAGCTTTTGGTAATGACTTTGAGGGACAGAAAATTTTATAACATAATGGGTGTCCATACTGTCTTTTGACCTCATCAGATGGAGGAAATTGCCTGTCCTAAGACATTTCCACCACACTTGAGGCATGGAGTCCACCAGCTCCCATTACACAACATTGATCTACTTCCAGCGGGGTTCTGTGCCTCAAGTGAATAGGAAACCATTGGGGAAGCTAGGCGGTGACACTCTCTCCCAAGGAATGAGGTGAGGAATAGCGGGGGAGGATGGGCAATGGGTTCCTCACGCCTTAATGTGATAAGGTCCTTAGTCTATAGAATTCAACAGGAAAGCAAAAGTATTTTGTCACATGAGTAGCTCATACAGCAAAAATGTGCTGTGTGAAGAATGTGTCTAGCTACCTATCTGACCGCATCTCTGCCTATGAACCCACCAGGACTTTGAGATCTTCCGGGGAGACCCTGCTCTCGATCCCGCCTGCTTCTCAAGCTCGGCTGGCGGGGACGAGAGATAGGGCCTTCTCGGTGGTGGCTCCTCGGCTGTGGAACGCCCTTCCTACGGACATTAGACTAGCACCATCTCTAATGGTATTCCGCAAAAAGGTGAAGACCTGGATGTTTGTGCAGGCGTTTGAGTAATTTAGTGTAATCTGGTAATGGAACATAGGAATGGAACAATGGACGACGAACCTGGACTACGCTTGGATGATGAGAAGATTGGGTACGGTTGTTTTTTGTAATAATTGTGCATTGTAATTGCTTATTGGTAATTTATGGATAATGTGTTAAGTCAATTGTTATATGTTGTATGGAACCACTGCTGTTTCTACTGTTTACTGTTTGTGAACCGCCGTGAGTCGCCTTCGGGCTTGAGATACAGCGGTATATAAGCAAAGTAAGTAAATAAATAAATAATAAATAGAATAGTTTTAGGACTTTATCACATTAAACCACTATTTCACAACAGTCCTGCAAATGGTGATACCACATACAAACGAGAATGGGCACTCTCAATACTATCTCTCTCTATGCATGCAATAGCAGCAATTTGCCAATCTGTGATCCTACAGTCATGTTTCCACATACCCTTATAATCCCACATTCTTGCAGTTCTGATTTTCTGTAATTTTAAAAATTATTTCTTAAAGCAATTGTACAGTTCTAGCAATGCTTAATAATTTTCCATTCTTCATCTCTCCTGAAGGGTAGCATTTCTTTGGCAGAAGAAAAGTGTATTGCCACTGCTTGTAAGTTGTAGTAGTAATTTTATTGATTAGCCCTTAGGCCATATCACAATAAGAAACAGAACAACAAGGCCTGACAAGACCTGATCTCACTCCACGTAGAAAGTTAAAATAATACACTTATAATAATACAGTAAATACATATGATAAGACATGATAGAACTGATAAACTGATCAAGCTGAGTATATACATCATATTTCATAATCACCCCTACAATTTACCCCAATCAGCCCTACATATGTGGTTCTCAGACGTATTGTTTTGCTTAAGTACAGAGCTGTTTTATATGTTATTTTTGGGTCTTGGCCACACATAAAATATGTTGTTCTGATGTGAGAATCCCAATACATTGTCCGTTTGATATATGGACCAAGGTGGAAGTCTCTCACCTTTTGATACAATTTGCAATCAAACAATATGTGTGCTATATCCTCAATTTCAGGTGCCCCACAGATACAACTCCATTCATTATAAGGGATGCTGTTAAATCTCCCGTATCTAACAATTGTCTCGAGCTGATCAAATCTGGCTCGCGTGAATACCTCCCTGAGATGTTTTGGTATTTGCATTTTTAGGTAATTAGCAGTTTGAAAGGTACGTTTATATTGACTCAGCCATTTTAGGTTAGCAGTCTTACTGAGGGTGGCTATATCTTTTTGTGCTTTTATATCCAAAATCCTTTGTATAGCACCCTTTCTTACTTGGTCATTTGAGGCGCGGGAGACAGGAAGCCCACAACTTCTTATATAATCTGTCAGTTGTGTAATCCAGGAGGTCGGTAGTGGGATTTTATCTGTTCTAGTAGGCACAATTTTGGGAGTCTATCAGGCTCCATTACATTGATTTTACACCAGTAATTGTATGCTCTAAGTTTAGACTGTGCATTGATTGTATAGATTTCCAGTTCTGCTCTCACTGCAGCAGCAGAGGTCCTTTTATCTACTCCCAGTATACTTCTCAACTGCTTGTAAGTCATTTCAAACAAGGTAGATTAATGAATTTGTTAATGTATTGTATAATGTTTTAAACTGAGTTTTAAGGCTTTCATGGCTGGAATCACTAGGTTTTTGTGGGTTTTTTTCGGGCTATAGGGCCATGTTCTAGAGGCATTTCTCTTGACGTTTTGCCTGCATCTATGGCAAGCATCCTCAGAGGTAGTGAGGTCTGTTCGAAATAGGACAATGGGTTTATATATCTGTGGAATGGCTGGGGT